TTTTTTTTTTTTGTGTAATTTTTAACTTCGCTGACAGCTACTAACTAAACGATGATAATTAGGGAGAAGAAATTAATGCGATTTTTTCATAACCACGTGAAATGTTTTTTGTTTTTCGCTCTCCGGAGAAAAACTTTTATATACATATAGATTATAAATGGAAAATCTAGTCCAATTTCATTTTTTTCCACTCTTAATCCTTGCTTACATTTTACCCTTTTATTTTTTTAGGTTGTTTTGGAAATGAAGAAGTTGCTGAAAAATGAATACGAATTGGCGGTTGGAAAAGGAAATCTAGTATTCAAGGTGTTTCCAAATATACTGGCAAAGGTGGCTGTGAAAAACAAGCTACGTTTAGGACTACGACTGTTGTTTTCGCGGCACGCGCGATTCGAAATTTATGTTGATGCATGCCAATAAGGGATTTCGGATTTAGTAAAGTTTGCGAAACTGTATACGGGTTAAGGCCAAGGTCTCTATTTTTTTTTTGTTGTTAAATTTTATTTATAATCGATTATATTTACGCGAATTTTCGATCCGGATTCGTTATATAAATATAGCTCTTCTAAAAATATTACAACTATATAGTGTGCACGATGATCCTACTGCTGCTACTTACTACCTGCAAAAAAAAACAAATGTAACGCTCCGGTCTTTATGGCAAACAAACGATTTCTGCGAAGGCCGCTCTCGAAATACATATTTTATCGCGCATAAAATATGCAATAATATATCGATCAATTATAATTATAAACAATCCGGTCTCGCCTGGCTTTATTACACATTTTCACTTGTTATTACAATTTTTTTAATAATCGAGCGAGCGTTGAAAATTTGAAGGCTGCAATTAAACAACACTTTGTCTTTTTTTTGGTAACCATAGTAATTAGTTGAAAAAAGGGGGCAGGAGGACGGCCATTGTCGAAGCCGTCTTTGGGGAGTAGCGACCCCACCCCTATCCGAGCTTTACGGTTACTAATTTTTAATTTTCGTATCTAGTTTTAAAATTAGTTTTTTTCTTATGTTCTTACAGTTTAATAATACTGCAGAGCATTGGTATATTACAAAAAAAAAACAAAACAAATGAATAAGTAGTCGTAATAACAGGTTGAGGTATGTAGTCCATTATTGACTAACGACGACAGTAGAAGCGCATCGTTAATAGTAAACAATAACAATCACCAAGGAAACAAACAAAGGAACGGGTCAATAATAACACGAGAAGAAGAATGCACGCGTTATGCAACTTGCGTTGTTTCAATTTTAATTACGTAATTAATTGCACGCGAATAACGTAAACTTTTGTTGTTGTTGCACCTTTTGAGTTTAATTAATTTCGATTTTTGGATTTGAACTTTGTAAATTATATAAGTATAACTGAGGTCCAAAGGTGTGCGCTGAAATCGATTGTTTTTTTTTGTTTCGTTTTCCGTTGTTTATCGCGTACACACGAATTACAAAATTGAACTTGGATATTTGTTTAATCTCGCGCCGTAAATTGTAATAACTTTTTACGAAACAAACCTAAATCGAAACATTTTTGGTTTATTTTAAAATACAATTTTTACTTATTTTAAGTATTACAAAGTCAACTTGATACTTAGTGTTTTTTTTTGATGTACGAAACAAAAGAAAATTGACATAGGTGACTTTATTTTTATTATTACTTAATACTTATTTATATGCTTTTGTTTCGTTATTATTCGTATTAATATTAAAATTAGTTGTATCTTGAAGTAACTTTGAATACTCACCTGTTTTGTTTTTGTTTACGAAACAAAAACAAACTCTTAATAGAAATCATTTGTTTCACTAAAAGCCAACTGTATAGTTCTTCTTACAATTAAATTCGCATTTGAAGCGTCTCCCTTCAAGAGCATCTATTTTAAAATTTTGGCAACGTCTCTCCATATAAGTAACCAACAACGAAATAATAATAATCGTAACAATATCCTTTGTTTCGTGTTTTCGGTTTACCAAAAAAAAAAAACAATAATTTAAAATTAGTTTTCTTTTTCACTCGTTTATTTGCTTTATTATCAGAACGGCTGCGATCCAGACATCTATTGTTTTTGAGATGCACACGTTTATTTATTCACCATGGAAACGTTATATTTTTTTTCGAGCGAAGCTAACATTTTGGAGAAACAAAACAAGAAAAAAATGTTCGTACTTACCTATTTATTTACCATGGTAACGTTTAATTGTTCTGTAATCAGGTGGGAATAACATTGGTTTTTCAAAAGCGAATAATCACATCATTCATATTTATTATTATTAATTTTTCTTTACACAATTTATATTTTTATATATATATTTATTTACAGATTTCATGCGTCGTTCGTGATTTGCTCGATGATGATTTGACTCGATTCTCGATGATTCGCACACTCGATTTTGCTCGATTACGATTTACTTTTGTTTATATAAACAAAAACAGCAACAAACGCGCCTCGATTCCTCCACATAATAATACAAAAATAAATAAGTTGAGTATATAATAGTTAGCGTAATACTGGAGACAGATGAAAATCGAAACAAACAAAAGCGTGCGAATCATGTCATCGAGATGATTGATCATCATCGAAGACTTCTTAATTCATAAAAGAAAGAAACAAATGGGATAAAAAGAAACAAAAAAATGTATTTAAATATAATTCGCATTGTTTTTTTTCTATTAGTTTCAATTTAAATTTTGTTGCCGGAATCACGACAATTCATGAACCCTACAAAAATTTACAACAAAAAAAAATGAATCCTACATATACATATTCGTTTGTTTTGCTTTTGTTTTACTTTACTACATCAATTAGTATTTCATTTGTTTTGTGTATGTGTAAGAGAGGGTGGTTTTCGTTTAGTAGACTCAATATGAGTCTTCTTTCTACGAAAAGAGAGAAAAATAAAATAATTTATAATATTAATAATAATAATCGGTTCTCGGCACTAAAAATCTAAAGAAGCGCACTTCTCTCCTCAATCAATAAGGTAAAATTGATTTTAACGGAAACAACGAATAATTGAAGTTAATTAATTAATTAATACTAATAATATAAAGTATCTATTTCATCTTCTTCTGTTTTTTTAGCTTGCTTTTTTCTTCTTTTTTTTTTTGAAAATTGGGATGAGGTAAATAATAGTAATAATAATCATCATTGCTTTTAAAAGTAAAAATACGATATTAATTAATAATAATAAAATCACCTAGTTTCGCTAAATTGTACAAAGCTGTTTTGTTTTGTTTTTTTCTTCTTCTTTTGTTTTGAAATTTCACTTATTTCCCTCTTCAAAAACAAGAGAGTTTGTGTGTGAACTGCAAGAAAAAAAAATAAATGAATCCTATGTACAGCTACTTAATACTAATATCTTCAGTACGCGTGTTTTTTAATCTTTATATTAATATTTATATTATTTTGTTTAATTCAATTTTTTTTGCTTTTTTTATTAAATTAAATATTTCACTAAAGATCATCAAGCGCGCGCCTGCGGTGATTGAAACTCTCTCTTTTGTTTTTCTCTCATTGTGTTAATCAGTCTCATTAAGGAAGGTTTGTTTTTTTTTTCTTTCTTCTTTTTTTTTCTCTCGCGNNNGTTTCTTAGATTTCGTTACGTTATATATATATATATATCAGCGATGTTAATATGTACAGAGGATGATAATATTTTTTGTTTGTTTGTTTGTTTGTTTTTTTGATTGATTGATTGATTGATTTGTAATCAAAACAAAAAAAAATAAAATCAGTAAACGTAGATCTGCTTGAGCTGCGGTTTCAGTTCCGCCGGTATCGTGTAGACTTCCGTTTCCGGTTTCCTCTTGACCAATCGTCGCCAGCGACCGCCCAAATTCTTCCTGAAGCCGCGGACGAAACCCGTCCTCTCCGTCGTCGGTAGACCTTGTACAAGCGCATCCTGTTAACACACAAAAAACAACGTTATTATTATTATTATTATTGTTATTTTATGGCTTTTGTTTCGAATTTTGTTTTTTAGCGATTGGTCGAGAAAGTTTCGGTGATATGCGTTCAGCTCACCTGGTTGTTGTTGTACAGGTGCTGCTGCGTCGGAGGTGGCGGCGTCTGCCAGAGAAACTGTCCGCGGTAGGCCAGGTCGTTGTTGCTAGGGTTGACGATGGCGTTACTAGGGGCGGTTGTCGTGGTAGCGCCTCCTAGTGCTTGCTGCTGGTGGTGGTGGTGATTGTTGTTGTTGTTGTTGAGGTGGTTGTTATGGAGATTGTGTGATGATGGTGGTGGGGCGGGAGAGGTCTGCAGAACGACGTCAGCTGGATGGACGCTGTTCGAGTGTTCCTCCCGTTTCCTCAGCTTGCTGCGAACAATACGGATGGCCATCATAGTGCCGTTGCTGCCCACCATTTTGCTGGGGTTGATTTTGTTTTTATTCTTTAAAATCCGCAAGAGTCGATCGCTCAATCTTTGCCTCTCTCTAATAAACTCTTTTACTATACAGTCTTCAATCTTTCAATCAATTAGAACTCGCAGTTAAAGTTTATATAAAGCGCACTACACTCTTAATAATAAGTAGTAATCCCTTTGAATGCACAGAAAACACTTCTTTCTTTCTCTTTTTATTTTTTGTTTATATTTTATTTCACACGGTTACGAATCGTCGAAGCGATAAAATCCTTTCGATTTGCTGCTGCGAGAGGAGGTCGCACCGCTTCGCTTTGGTATACAACTACTATAGATTCCCATCTGCGAGTTCTCGAAAAGTTCTGAAGCGTTTCCTGTGGCATGGCCTGCTTTTATATAATGAGGGGGGTGGGGAGGAGGAGGTGGCACAGGCGCTACGGTACGGACACGCGCACTCTCCGCCACCGTTTTTTCCCCATTTCGAAACGATCACATAACGCGTCAGATAGAGACAGCGAGTGTACGAATGAGTGAGAGAAAGAAAGAACGAGACCTTTAGAGTGGTAGTGGAGGACGGAAGCAACCGACGCGGCGGACAAAGGGGGGAAAAGCCACGTCTGGCGGCGCGTCAGAAAACGTTAGCTGAAGGGGGGACGCGACAGCTGACACATATTATTAATATTATTAACTACTACTAACTTCTAAACTTAACGAGTCTACATTATTATCATCATCGATATATTACTATTTCGCCTTACGTTACGTTACGACATTTCCTCGTGCAAACATTTCGACCATTTTTATTTTTGACATTTCTCAACCCTTAACCTTTAATAATTGACAAACCGCAAACGTCACTTTTCATGTTTTGTTTTATTTTGCTTCTTTGTTTTTTTTAAACAATTGCCTTCAAAACCTTAAGTTTACACGTATCTTCGACTCGTACAAAAGTCAAATTTGTTTTTGTTATTGTTTTGTTTATTTTTAAACAATTGCCTTAAGGGCGTCCATCGGGCGCGCCGCGACTGCTAAACAATTCGGAAAGCGAAGCCAACTTGATTGGATCCGTCGACCGGAAAAATGCAAAAGGCCACACGAAATACGTTGTTACATCACACAACAAATTGTAATGAACTTAATTTTAAGATTGAAATTAATAATTAAATAAGTTATTAAGTATTGACTTAATACAATATTTCAATATTTCGAAGTAAACACATTTTCTAGAGTTTGAGTTTTGAACTAAACAATATTTACAAGAAAACTTTCAGTCATTCGATACAGTTGGGGTCTAAAGTTTATGAAGAAGATGAATAACAGAAACATGTTTATTTTGAATATGTGCAGTTACGTTTACTTTCTAAAACGTATATTTACTTAGGACTTTTAGGGATTTTTCTTTGAATAATCTAAAACTAAATTTAGAGATTCTTTTGCTTATTTCCATCAAATTTTTGATTAATTAATGAGTAAAACTACACAAGGAACTTAATTATAATTTTGTTGTTGTTGTTCGTAAAACATTCAAACTTTTCTCTTCTCTTAATCGTTTAATCCAGGAAGAATCTACATACACTTTCATAATATTAGACTTTATAATTTGAATTTCGATTAACGTTTTCTATAATAATAATTCAAAATTGTAAAAGAAAAGTTGGAAACTTTGAATGTTTTTGTAATTAATTCAAAATGTTCATTAAACGTAAACTGTGGGTTTTTGCATTTTCATACAATGTCACCTCGTTATTGTTAGTAATCATCATCACCATGGTTATTAAAAAAGCGCAGGGATTTTTTTCTCTTCTTTGACGCCGCGTAAAATCCGGAGAACTGCGGCTACTTTTCATAAATATTTACCACAATTAAACACAATTTTTTCTCCTGTTTCTCTCGTCCGCTTATTTATTTACTTGTACATTAATAGCGTTGTCGCGCTTCTCATATCGCGATGATTCTTAAATTTTCGAAAGTCGTCTGTCCCAGTAACACACACACGTACGGTCTGTGATGATGTCCAAATTTAATTTCTTATCTGATGACAGATGTCGCTTATATCAATAGTTTTAATTTATACATTTTCTTAACAAGAGTAATCTCTAATTATTATGTAATATGATATAATAAAAAGTTAATTTTTCATCGCATCATAGATGTCGTTTCTACAAATAGTACAAAATTTATACATTTAAAAAAAATGTTCGAATTTAAATCATAGTAATCTGTCATAATCGAAAAACCTTAAAATAAAAAAATTCTTAAGAGTGATACTACGTCGATTCACAGATGTCGCTTCTGTAAATACTTAAAATTTCAACATTTTCTTTCAGATTTTCGAAATACTATAAAATATAACCAATTCTTAAACCTTCTGTAACATTGTCAAACTGTAATTTCCAATTGTCTCATAGATGTCGCTTCTGCAAATACTTAAAATTTCAACATTTTCTTTCAAATTTTCGAAATACTATAAAATATAACCAATTCTTAAACTTTCTGTAACATTGTCAAACTGTAATTTCCAGTTGTCTCATAGATGTCGCTTCTGCAAATACTTAAAATTTCAACATTTTCTTTCAAATTTTCGAAATACTATAAAATATAAGCAATTCTTAAACATTCTGTAACATTGTCAAACTGTAATTTCCAATTGTCTCATAGATGTCGCTTCTGCAAATTGTTTAAATTTCTACATTTTCTTTCAGATTTTCGAAATACTATAAAATATAACCAATTCTTAAACCTTCTGTAACATTGTCAAACTGTCTCATAGATGTCGCTTCTGCAAATTGTTCAAATTTCTTCATTTTCATTAGATTTTTTTCTTGTAATTACCATCAACGTCTGCATCAAACGATTACGTCACGTTTCTTGCTATTTGCGTGTAATTTCTAAAGGAAGGGCGATTAAGGAGATTGCGTAATTCGAGTTTCGCGAATTAATTTAAATACTCAGTGTATGTTTGTATGTGTTGCGCTGCTAAAACTAAACGGAATACCTGGCGCATATTCATGCATGAAACTCCCGTTAATCGTGTAGAGAGAAAAGCGCTGTGTTTCTCTCTCTCTCTGTCTTCCTTCGACTCTTACTGACTCGATCACTTTTCTTTTTACTCGGTTTTACCGAGTCTCCAATTGGATAACTACTTTTTACCTATTAAAAAACTACACTCGGTCAATCAGTTCGACGATACACAGTTACGTCAATACAGTTTCTATAACAACACAATAGAAAAAAATGAGAAAAAAAAGAAATCTTTTGAAAAAAAACGGAGAGAAAACTTTCTAGGCGCCTCCGAAACAGTCGAGAGACTCTTGATTCATCTTTGGTTACCATTGGCAACGTTTGAATGACACACAGATTTCGATTGTTTGGTGGGAGAGAGAGAGAGAAAAGCACGATCGTGTAGTAGGCCATGGACGTTATTGTGGCCATTCGGTTGCAAAATGCGTTAACATTTCAAACGAAGAGAATGTAAGAATGAGTTAGAAAGACAGAGAAAGAGAGAATATTCGTGCAGCAAAGAATATAATGGTTGTTGTACGTATGCTAAAGACTCTTTTCCTCCTCTTCGAGCAAGGAAATGCGGATGTAGTAAAGTCGTGTCCGTTCTACGTTAATTTTTGGGAAAAATTTCCGAAATGCAAATTTCGACATTTACTTACACACAAAAATTTGACGTCCTTTTTAAAAAAACTATATATATATATATCTAATGTTTATGTATGCAAAAACCAATGACATCATAGGAAGCTCAAGTACGCTCATTTGTTTTTTTCTTCGTTGTCAAGATACATAAAAATCTAATTATCAATTTGGTTTTTGTTTCTCATTACGTCAATAATTATTTTTTTCTTTCATAAATTTTTAAATAACTCATCTCCATAACAACCTAGAGACGATCCGACCATATTGTTTAATGTCAGTTGCCATGACAAATTTCTGAGAATCATTTTTGTTTTTGTTTTTTTTCTCTTTCAATTTCAACTATTGCGATTATGTGGAAACAAAGGACGAACTTTACAGGCAATTGCGATTAGCTTTAACCTAATCGCAACGTCAAATGTCAGAGAGGAGATTTCAAAAGGTTTTATAATGTATGTGCACGATCGTTGTGAAAAAATGAAATAAAAGAAGACTTTGCGGAGGTCGCGTTATTGAAAGTTCGTTAATACGATTTTAAACAATTGCTGTTATCTGCAACGTAAAAAAAAAACAACAACAACATCGAGTCGGTAAACATGGAAACTTAGGGAAGGATGTCTACGAGTTGACACGACCTTTTCATTCAATTTGCATTTCAAAATCAACGTATTTATGAATTCCAGTTTAGAATCTGTCAAATACAACTGTTTATTCGCATCGCCATCTGTGTTCGTATTTTCGTAACTAATCTAATGTTGATTTTCAGAACGAAACAAAATACACTTTTAAACCTGTCAAAAATTCGATTGTTTCTTGTTTGCCAACCATTTTAATAAGTTTGCTAAACGAAACATTTGTGTGTGTCTTTTGTTTTGTTGTATTTTGTTTGGCCCACTTCGATGTACATGCATGCATGTACGATCGACCGCGAATTGTCCTAATAATCATCGAGTTCCGAGAGAGCATAGCATTCCTTGACCCCAATTATGAGCAGCGCCCCTCTAGATCTCTCTCTCTCTCTCGTTTTGCTCTTTTTTTCTACCCAAGATTATCGATTATCCCCTTATCATCATTACACAGCACACATTCAATTCAATTTTAACTTATTAACAAAAAAAAACAACAACTGACGTTGTCCCACATTGTCATATTGACATCAAATTTCCTAATACACCCTGTTATTTGACAGATACTTAAGTTAAGGTTACACAATGTGACATCTGTCAAAAAATCGTGACGCTTGAATAAAATTGTTGTTTCTACTTCGTTTCTCTATTTTGTTTTTGATGTGATTTGTTTTTGCGTCTGATCACCTGCTAATTATAGCACAGGTTTAATTACAATGTGTCCGAAATAAATAAAAAAAAAGTAAATGTATTACTTAAGTAAGTTTTTATCGAGGGAAATCCCAAAAATAATTGTTGTTTTTTTTTTTCTTCTAATAATCGCTCGGAAATTTTACACCGATTTTCATTTCGTTAATTACGATTTTTTCCCCACACAGATTGATTAGTTGTTTTTTTTTTGTTTATTTTGTGTGAATTAGTTGAAACCAATTGTTTTTTCCCCTCCGAGAAACGGAAATTGCGGTAAAACACTTGACATTATTACCTCATCGCCGTGGAAACCAAGAAACATTTGAATATAGAGAAAAAAACACAATTGTTGTTAAACCGTGTTTCCCTTGACTGATTGACGCGATCGTAAAGTTCAGGTTTATTGTTTTTTTTTTTGTTC